AAATAAGGTAGTATGGTTCTTATCAAAGTTTTCAATAACGTTATCAGTTTATACTTATATAATTAAGTATTGAAAAATTGTTGATGATTAAAATAAAAAAAAAAATACTTCAATAAACAAAGACTATGCATAATGCGTGTATTTAAATATTGTAAAGACGTGTATTACTATTTATGTTTTAATTAGATTCATATATACGTGTATCGCGTTAACGTGTATGTGGAAGTGATCATATTTTACAAAATTTTTACTCTCAGACGAAATTTAACTATACACATTTTCATATAGTTAAACTATTTTTGTGGCACTTGAATTTGCACATGCGCGCAACAATTTTTGTTTGAATTGCACGGAGCATTTTTGACACGAATTATTTTTCGTAAATCAAACTTTAAATTAAGATATGACGTGTCCCTAAGTTAACGTTTTTGTAACATTTTTATTTTTATTAAATTTATAATCATTATTGAATTATTGCAATAATTTACGAATTCATAAAATCATAAATAGTATAAAAATTGAAATATAATACAATATTTTAAATAGCTATCATAGGGACATGGGTAATTTTCTTAAATTAAAGTTTTTTTTTTTTTTATTGAACGTTACAGCTTCGGCAGCATAGGCCATTAGCTTTGAGCTTTATACAATTATATACTTATAAATATTTACATAGAATAGGAAGAAAAAAAACAGTTTATACAATATTAATGACTTATTACTATTAATTATTATATGCTTTTTTCTAAATTTAATGCTTTGAGGAAAGATATGATGGTTTCTGGTAGGCAGTCGGGACCGATAATTTCGTACAGGTAAAAAAATTCGGTAAATTTTTAAAATAAACAAAGATTTTATGAATGAAAATATTAATGTTTCTTAATTTGTTAGAAAWYGTAATAATTATTAACCATTAAATACTGTGATTACTATAATTTGACCATTTTTTGATTTAAAAAGAAATAATTCAACTACTGACACTCGTTATAATTCAGAGAAAAATAATTCATAGTCAAAAATTTCAAAAATTTCATCAAAAAAAGTTGTTGTACGCATGCACAAATTTAACTGTTACAAAAGTAGCTTAATAATTTAAAATCGTGTATAATTATATATATTAATTATAGCCAAAAAATAGAATTCAAATATATTAAACTTATACTAATCTATTAAGAGGATTTTACATGGACGTTTGTTGTCTCCGTCTTATAAATGTTACGGCAAAAGTACGAATACCGGTTAAACCTAGGATTTACTGGTAAATCCTAGGTTTCACCGACTTCTGTTGGTAAATGTCCAAGTTTTGGACATTTACCAATTGATTTCGGTAAAACCTAGGATACACAACATCGTTTGGTCAAATACCGAATGATTTTTGTAGTTCAGACTTATACAAACGAGATTTGGTAAATCTTAGTATAAACAATCAGTGTTAGTAAAAGTCCAAAAGTTTTTACCAAAGTTATTAATTATTATTATTATTTAAATATATTAGGTAGGTACTATATCAATGACTAATACATTAAATACACATATTTATATTATTGTTATATATTATGATAACTAAACTGCGATCAGCTTTTATGTTGATTATCATAATTATTATTTTTTAAGTATTGAYTTTGGGAATTTTCATTTCGACTTTCATATACATCATGATAATGGACGACCTTAATACGTGTACCTATATACTTATACAATCAAATCACAATACAATCAATAAATTATCCAAAAAGGTACCAAGGTATGTGATAAAAGTTGTTCCTACTTAATACTGTGTTGCACTACAAGTTTATGATACGGAACCAGGTTTGATAATAGATTGAATCTAAATTGAATAGATTGAAAACAACTCGAGATGTCACAGTAGCGAAGCCTGCAMAAATAAATGATTTAATAATACAATTAATTTTATTATAATAAAAATAATATACCAAACATTACAGTAATAAAATTATGTGAAATTTCACTTGCTGCATATTTTCAATTTTGTATTAGTATTTAATAATAATAATAAAATAATAAACTAGCACTACAGTAATAATATTATGTAATAGTTATATAAATTTATTATCATAATATATAACAATAATATAAATACATGTATATGTATTTAATATGTAATACCTACCTAATATACTTAAATAATAATAATTATTAACTTTGGTAAACATTTTTGGACTTTTACTAACACTGATTGTTTATCCTAAGGTTTAACAAATCTCGTTTAAAGTCTGAACTATACAAAAATCAAACAGTAGTCGACGTAATCTARGATTTACCAGTATTCGTACTTTTACCGTAACATAAACATTACAAATCATGGTCAATTTGACGTTCACAATAATACATTTTACTTTTTAATTATTAAAATAAAATAAAATTTACCTATCATAAAATTTAAACACAAGAAAGGATATATTGGAGGATTTTATTGATATTATTATTTTTAAATGTGTTATGATCGTTTTAAAATTTACAAATTAAATAAAAAATACCAATTTAAAAATGGTCATAACTTACTTAATAATAATACTTTACTTATCAATAAAGTCCTCCAAGATGCCCTAGATAATATTGCTGCCTTTACATTTTGTTAGAGGTAAATTCACTCTAATTTTATAAATTAAAGAGAAAAACGTGTTATTGTGAACGAAAAATTTGCCATTGTGTACATTTTTAAGACGGAGAAAACAAATGCCAGTGTGGCGTCTTCTTAAGTGTTTTAACTTATCGTGATCACACTGTATATACTCATTTATTCTGCATAAAACGGGTGGGGAAATGAAACAGCCAATTAAAAATATTTGTTTTTTCGTTAACAGGAGTACAGGACGTAACACTATATCATTTGTTGTCTACATCTTACAAATACGGAACATAGTAAATTTACGCCCAGCAGATCATGTKTTTCTTTGTTAGTTTAAAAATTAGAGTGTATCGATATATTATGAAACATGATGGTAAGAACACTCAGGTCAATAGTTTAGTTATATAATATAATAGTAAATTAATTACATTAAAGTCGATTAAGTTGTATTTAATCAATAATAAAAAAATTATGGACTGCTTATTTATTTATTTACTTTACTTAATTAATAAGACGTTAGACCGTGTTTATCCGTAGAAAATATCGTATAAACCCGTGTGAAAAATATTACGCTTCAACGTTGAAAAACAATCCGCTATCGATAATCTCTGTTATTTTTCACCTGTAGGTTTTTAGACGCCTTTTTCGCGTAGGCGAATACGCACGAGTCCATATACCTACATAATAAATGGCGTGTGGGTATTATTCACACACACACACGCACACACACATACAACGTCACCTGTACTCTACTCCACCATCAATCGTCGTGGACGTTACGGGGGATGAAACTCGCTGCGGCGGATAGGAGTTAAGGAACAGATCAACACCTGTTGTTCGGTGGCCGAAGCTCATACAGCGTGTGCAAACGTTGGCGCGTGCGGGCAGAGGTGAACGCAAATAAACGGTATACGCATAAACAAACAATAACGGTATAGGCAACACGATGAATGTAAATAACTATACGCAGTGCAGAGAAGGTGTATGTTATGTTGTAGTCGGGCCGTGAATAAGGAGAGGAAAACAATCGCATTGAATAAAAAACATAAATATAATATAATAAAGAAACGTATTGCAGTATTTTGCTGAATCAATCGCTGAGGGATGAGCACCGGCACGGTGGTAGTGTACGGCAGGAAATCGTGTGTGTAGTAAATCAAAATCATTTGTTTCTATTTTGTTCCACCTGTTGGTGTATCTTGTAATCTCCGAAGGAGAATTGTTTACAAAACAATAACTCTTATACGTGTGCGAATACGTTTAGATGTTCGGTTCCCAACAACTGATATTCAGGTGAAATTACTGAATTGTGAGCATAACGAGATACTTTACAATAAATAATATAACAAGTTATATGAATCGTCAAGTATGCAACACTAAATTAATAGAGTATAGGTATGGTACATGGCATATAAATTTTCGTTGTTATCGTTATACATTTTTAATTACCTATGCGTTTTACGTTTTTATCTGAAAATTGTTAAATGTCGTTTAGAACGATCTGAATTCAATTCTGTATAAAATATTTAGTCCATTAGCTTTTTTTTTTGGATTTATAGGAATACAACTCTATGTAAACCTATCAAGATTTGAATATTTATTTAATGTAATAAAAAAAAAAAATGATTGTACCTAAGCCCATAGATGAATTCATATTCTTTGTTTTTAATATTAAAATCAGGTCATTCAAAGTAGGTATAGCTGACGAAAATGATCTGATGATGCGTCTTCTAGCAACAGTCAAACTAATGTTCAGTATCAGTAATACGCATGATCTATAATACCTATAATACCTACCTATTATCAATAATATTCTATATGGACATTTTCGATGATGGAGTTGATGTGTGCAATAATAAATGTAAAGAGGTACCAACGTCCAACACATATACATATTATATTTGTCTTTTTTGAACAGCGATCAGTATGGTACTCGTACATAACATTGTACAGCACGTGTGTTCATAGATTAATTTGGCAGTTTTGCATTATGTAACATTTCATTTTATATTCAATCGTGTCACATGTTTCGGATACATCCTGTGTGTTATACTTCGTCGCATATTCTGCGTGTATAGCTTGCGAGTCGACGTGCGTGCGCGTGTGTGTGAAGGGAGAGTGAAGTTGGATTTATCAGGGTTCTAACCATAATGGTAGACGACGAGGAGCCACTACCACAGAGCCATACTTACCCCGCACGAACCGCGAGGCTGGTATTGTGCCGGGTGAAGATAGAGGCCGGGTGGCGGTGGAGAAAAAAACTATCGAAAGCCTCCGAGAATGCGCCGCCGTGGAGTTTGCGCCGCCGCCGTCCGTGCGTTAAACCGTAGAGTTGCGTTTTTGTCCGAAAATACCAACACACACATATGCGCCGCCGCCGCCGGGTAGGTATACAACCACCGAGCGCGCCGACAGTGTTCGGTTGAAAACCACCCCGCAGTCACACGCGTGCCGACTGGCGACCCGACAGCGTACTGTCTCCTCCGATGATGCGCCGCGTAAAAGGTAATTTTCGTTTTTTGTAGACTTTCGTCGTCGATTCGATGCGAGTTACGTAATACCTATAGAATTAATTAATAGTATAATTTTATGTATTATTACTTAGTGTACGCTAGAGTCTAGCACCACTGCGCTAGACGGCTAGACCCCCTCCTCCCCCCAATTCATATTTTTGGAGCCCTGGTACGAAACTAAATCCGGGCTCTGAATATTTTTCTAATATATATTGAAGTTATTATTTGCATGAACGGTGGGACCTTCGAAAGTCTAGGCCCCAGTACCTTGGGTTTTTCTGACTCCCCTTTCAAGGAGGCCCTGATGTACGCCATTACACCGTAAATACGTCAGCTGGTATTTGTTTATGTTACAACGTTTGATTATCAAAAGTTTTAGTCGCAGTCGACATGGCGTTTAATTAAATAAATAATATTGTTTTTCATTGAAATTTTTCATGCGAACAACGAAAACAATTTTTTTTTAATCAAAAACGTTCCATTACTTTCAAAACGCATTTCGGTGCTATTAAAAAAAAAAATCTTATTGGTGTATTATGTTTATAGAACCTATTGTTGACGTAAGCTTTTACTATTTTTACAAGAGACTTGAAATAAAAAAATAAATAAATAAAAAACGTASATGTGATGTAAAACTGCATTTGTTTATTTTGTTGAAACAAATATTATGTTTATTAATACTATGTCCAATTTAATTTAGTGTTAAATTTAAAAGTTGATTCAAAATATTCTATTGTTTCATGTCTATAAATACTGAAATACTACCGATTTAGATTTAGATTTACAAATAAAGAATTATATATTATATCTATATACAGAATAGAGATTCTACAGACTATAGATTATAGGAAATAAAATATTTTGAACATAAAAATTAAATCAGAAAATATAGTATTCAGCTATAGAATTCTTAAACATTTTCTTTAAATTTCAGTTCTAAAATATAAAAATATATACTAACTTTTCAATATTAAAGATAAGGGTACTAGACATCTCTAATTGATAAAATTTATTTTATTATTTATATAATTATTATAATAATTTTATTTCATTTAACAATCGGAGATGTCTGGTTGTTGCACCAAATGAGCAAGTTTGGGGTTTCTTGTTGTTGCTCTCAGGTATTTAATTGAAGATGGCAGACAAGGTGAAGCCACATTTAAATTAAAATCTAATTTAACAATAAGGTTAATATATTTCCGTGTACGTTTTTGCATCTAACATATAGATTTTACGATATTAATGAAATAATAGAATAATTATCAACATTTCATCTTATAAAAATTGTATTGGGAATGGATGGAATTAATGATAGATATATTCAATTAGAATGGTTATACACATTAATAGTAATAAAGTAAATCAATTTTTTTCGTTAAAATTTAAGTTTTTACAATTTTAAATACACAACATTGTTCATTTTTTTTTTWAAATATAATAAAATAATCAACTGTTACCCAATGTTTGGTCTTGGACTATTAATTTTTTCTATGCGATTTACCATTTACATATTTTTCATCTAATACTTGTCAAAAAAAAATGCTTATTAGAAATCGCGAACTTAAGACTTTTAACTTTAAATTTTTGGATTTTATACTCTTCAATCTTTTTTATACAGCTTAAAATGTTTAAGTAATACATAAATAAACGTATAATTTTAAGATCCTGACCAAAACTAAGAATGAATTGGGCTTTAAAGGGAGGGAACAACTATAAGTTTTATGATTAAAAAGTCTTTTTCTACCTTCAGTTAACACTTTATCGAAGTAATTTAAAGATTACAAATGTTATTTTTATAGATAGGAGATTAATTCTATGTAATGTAGTATTAAATTTTAGTTATTAATAATTTTCTGTAATTCCTAAGAAACAGATGTAAGGAAAACTACAAAACTAGTGAAATTAATTTTTATTTGTAAAATATTTTACTTAAAAAAAAAGCAATCATAATAAAAATACGATTATGTACCATAAATTAATATATTAGCACAATAATCCAATTACTAAAAGAAAATTACTTTAAAAAGATTTTAAATTTAAATTAGCGATTTTCACTTTAAAATTTCAATTATAAACCAAAACAATAAAAAATATTATTTATACTTTCCTTGTTTATAGACTTTGAGAATTTTTCAAAAATTACCCGTTAAATTAGATACCATCTGGGTCACTATCAAATTTACAGTTGGCAAATTCTGTTACTTTTAGAGTACTTTTACTGTTGCAGAAGATAATTTTCTAGAATAAAGTCACCTTTATAAAATCAAGTTATTCTTTAGAATTTTTATATAGTTATAAGTTCATAATCTGTAATATAAGTTTATGAGAAATAATTATTAATCATTATTAATAATAGTTCCTTGATAATAATATTGCTCGATGTGCTATATATTTACAATATTTTAAAAATGTTTTCAACTAATAAATTTATATTCTATTTGAATACAATAATTAAATCCTTGGATGACTTCAAATAAGTGTTGTTCTTGTTACATAATCGTATGAGGTTTCCGTAAAAATATTCTGTTAGATAAGTTAAGATTCTGTTTTAGTTTAAGGCTGATTTCCAATAATAGCTTAATGTAATTTGAACATAAGACTTATGAATACAAATACACTTTAAATCATTCTAATGGAGTATTTAATCTTTTGTATGAATATTATTCGATATAATAAATTATAATTTTATACATTGATCTATAACAAGATATATTAACACTTAATATGAAACATTAGAAAGAGTGGAAACAATGGAATTAATGTTATGGTACCTATACAAGTGGCAGGTATTAAAATGTATAAATTCTATATTTGTATGAAAGAATTCGTTTTATTTTTATCTTTTTTATACATATATTTCTTACTTTTCTTTCATTTTTTACTGCGCATAACTTCCTATTCTCATAGTATTGGAACCACAGAACTATATACAGTCATTAAAAGTGGCTGGTCCATGTCGGTGAGACATTTATTGTAAAATCTCAACGACTTTACGGCTTTTTGAACCCTCCTCCACATTATTGTGGTGAAAAAGATCAACTCGAAGCCATTTTAATTTTAATTTAAAACACAATAGTTTTAAGTATGACCTAATGGATAAAAAAAAAAATTAAGTATAAAGTAGTTTATTGCGTTCAGAAGTTCTTGAATACCTTAAATAAGCAAAATATTTATGATACTGTATAAAATATCCTAGCTAAAATTACAAACCAAAATGTTATTATGTACACTTAACTTATGAGTTACAATACATTTTAGCTTTTGATATTTGATAAAATATATAATGGTATATTAGGAGACTTTGTGTTTGAGCTTATGAAAAATTGATATTATTAATGTAGTAAATCAAATTATATGAAATGAATTAGATAATTTATATTTAAATCGAAAGATTAAATTTATAAATTGAACTAAATATTTAGTTAGAACTTTGGTATTTAAAATTATTCATGCTTAGATTTTTATTTTTATTTAATTCTTATACTTTTAATTTCTACAGCAGGTCTTTTGTCTTTCATTCACTCATTACTTAGTAAACGTTTATTATGAACGGAGTAAAGTATATTGCGAAAACGAGAGATATAATATCATCGCCGTTCACAGCATACCTATCGACAAATTAGTTACCTACGATAATGGTTGTTGTAATTTCATAATACATAGTCATGGTTTTTGCATAATTTATAGTATATTTCGGTAGTTACCAAAATTTTGTGAATTAGAGTTTTTCAAAACAGGCTTTTATACACACATTTCCCATTTAGGCGAATTTTGGAATCAATCACATGTGACAACAATGATTCCCATGAAAGACTATAATTGGTAATTACTCATATTTTTTGTCACTACGTCTCACTTATTTATAGGAAATCATTGAAATCAAACTAATTAAAAATTATATTTACAACTACTAATACTACCTACTATAATATTAATTATAAAATGTATACAGTTTTATAAACCAAAATAAAATAATATTACAATAATTGGATATTAAAAACAGAATTTTAAGATGAAATAGGAAATGAATAGGTACAATATATTTTTAATACATGTATTAATCTTCCATCAGTGATATAAATTACGCTACAAATTTTTACAAAGTCTAAATGAATTGAAAATTAAAATGCTACAAACTGTTAGACTGTTAGAAACCGATGTAGTTTGTGATAATATATCTATTTCAAACTAATAAACAAAATACAACAACAACTATAATACTTATTTTATCTTTAAACACTGCGTTCTGATGTCATCATATCTGTATATTTATTCCTACTTACACACAAAAATCTTTTAAGTTTATTTGAAGAAAAAAATATATAAGTACCTACTTCAATGACAATTACATTTAAGGAAACTTTTCTATCACCTTTGTATCACTATTTTATTGTAAATATAATAAATGCTTCTCATCGTGACTTGAGTATTTTCTTTATTTGTTTAAAAACTGACTGAAGTAAACAGTTGGTTTTTCCTTGAGTTATTTCTAACAAAACAATATACCATTTTATCAGCTATTGATGTATATTGTATTGTATAACTTACTTAATTTTTCTATACTTAATAGTTATGTTCTCGGGCACAACATCGGAAAGTAGTATTTTTTAATAACACGCAAATAAAAAATAAAATAAAAATATTTTATATTTTACACAAATCAATTTATTGGATGTGTACTAGGTACATAGTATTAAATGTTTTATATAAATACTAATAATTGTTGATTAATAGTCTGAGATCCATTCAGTACTATTTTTTGAATACTATGATTTTTCATAGTTTTAAACTAATATTTTAGATTCTGGTCGGAGCAATGAATGTATTGATTTTATGTGCTTTTTAAGTTTGTTGTGTCTGTCGTTACCTATTGAAGCAGTAAAAATGTTTCAATTTTATTTTTAAATATATTTTCTGCTTTGGTAGGGAATTGAAAATATTTGAAAATTAGGAGAGGGGAAGAGTGGTCAAAAGTAAATAATTTAAGGTTCT